AAGCAAGTATAACATGGTGAAACCGGCAAGCAGTTACCTGAAGCACGTAGCATAGACAGATTGTGTCAGGTCTCACTAAGATACAGCATGAGAGCGCTCACTGGGGCCTTTTAAACACGGACATTCACATTGCCCAGCACCAACTTCTGTCGCCAAAGGATCCACAAGTTCAAGGAGGCGGCTGGGACGTGTGTCATTCGTCAGTTGACGTCAGTATCTATACGCCTATTTTCCGTCTGCGGTATGCACCGCGCTGCTTAGCACGTAAAGCGCACAGCGCTTTAGGTGGAAACCATAGGAACCTGCGAAGAGTAATGATTGCTGAATGACAATGCATACAAACTTTTAAAGCAATATAGTTGTTCCGTGAAGCGAATGTGTAAGGTTCACACTTACCGATTGTAAGGGAACTCCCAAGTGAAAGGTTTACGAAGCAAAACTCAATTTGTCGTCATTTAAAGCTCCAAAGAAACGCAGCGTTATGCACCACAAATTCAACATACCCGCAGCAGTGCATACATGTGTATGCCGGCTCACCATAGTATCCCGCACAACCTTGATAAAATCATCGCCCGCATACGTCGCAACCTATCTAATCCACTTGCACGCAGCTCCCGGAGTATTCATCCTCTTGCTGACACAGAGCGCAAACCGCCCTGTCTGCATATTCACCAGCCGTCGCCATCCTTGTACGCCATGTGCGGTAACGAGAGGGTTCTTTTTTCAGGGTACGAATTTCAATTGCCGTGATATCATGCTTGGAACCGCTACTTCCACCAAACCAGGTATCATAGGTGACTTCCGTATTGACGCCGACAGCCACTGTCAATACCCCTCGAAACACCAGGACTGGAACTATAGGAATATACCTTGAGTGTTACTTCCTGAGCGGATCGTTTAGCCAGGAAAACATAAGGTGTTGGAGGTCACGATAGATCTAAAACGAAACACCCGAAACACACACAGGTCACGTTCCCTGCACTAGCAGACCATAATTTGTAGGGCAAGTGCAATAAGAAGTCGAAGGAAAATGGAAGATAAAGGGGAGTGAGTCATTTAAATGAAGGATAACACCAAGGAGTGAACAGAAGGACCGAATACAAACTGAAAGTTGGAAGATGGATACAGTCAGGAGAAGGGAAACGTTTCATCTTGCCAGCAAAGACCATCTACCTGACGCTTGAAACCTTTAACCGTAGGTTCCCTGACTACACTTTCTGGAAGCGATTTCCAGAGCTCGATAACTCTACGCGATAATCGAGTTTCCGTCCTGCTCCGGGCAGGACGCGGCTTGTGTAGGTTCATGGGATGACCGCGACGACAAGCCGGGCTACATAGTGAGCTAAAGTTCGGTCCAACCTTCCCTGTTAAAATGCGGGTTTCCTCGAAGCCGTCGGTAGTTCATTGAATACATACCAAAGCTAAGTAGACCCTCGGAGTACAATTGCCCCCGTAACTCCACGGCCAATTTGGTACGTACTCTCAAAACGCTCTCGAGCTCCATTTCTTCCCGAACAAGGCAGGGCGGGCAATGCTGGACGCAGTATTCCAGATGTGGCCGAACTAAATCTGAGAAAAGTTTCACAAATATGTCGGCAGATAAGACCCCGAAAGGACGGCGTATTAACCACAGCATTGAGAAACCCCTATTTGCGGCCTTCTTCCAGTTGTCACCAGAATGCAAACAGGAGGAATGAACGACGCGTAGGTCTTCCGTGTTGGAGACAAAGGGGAGTTCGACCCCACCGCGTACGCAGCTCGAAGTGGAATGTTGCTCCCATATAAAGGACGGAACACAGCTTGATTAATGGGAAGTAGCCGCAATGTGGACCAGTCGCAGAGTCTGTCCAGGACATGCTGTATGGCCTCAGAACCCGCAGGAACATTGAAAACATTCCACAGCTCAAGGTCATCAGCAAACAATAGGGATGATATTCAAAGCTCTCCAGGGGGATCGTTTACGTAGATGGAGAACAACACCGGTCCAAGGACCGAGGCACTGGTAAGGGCCGCTTGCCTAAAGAATGGGCTGCGATCCTCACGTACACACTGCTCTCTTCCCTGCAAGAGCGCAGATACCCAGTGTATCGCGCGGCCAGATACGCCGTAGGAGCTCATTTTTGATAGCCTGAAGTGCGGTACCTTATCAAACGGTTTCGAGAAGTCTACAAAATCACATCCACAACGTGGCCATTGCTCATTGTCTCGGCCCAAGCTTCAAGAGCAACCAACAACTGCGTCAGGCACGAAAACCCTTCCGGAATCCATGCTGAGCACTGCTGAGTAGATTAAATCTATCCAGATGACCCTCCAACGAATCTCTCACCAGCTGTGCAAGCAGTTTGACCACGGCGCTAGTCAGACTGACCTTCCTATATTTGACTACAGACTCCTGTCGCCATTGTTGAAGCTACGACCGATGACAGCCTCCTTACCTTCGGAAGGTAATGCACAGCTGTCACGTGACTTCTGAAGCACTATCGTCAGCGGTACACTTAGTTCCACCGTTAACTCATGCAGAAGCTTCGGGTGTATTGAATCAGGTACAGCTGCTTTGGAAGGGTTCAGTTCTTGCAGCAGTTTAAGGACTTGCGCTTGCACCACAGTAAACTCAGCTAAATAAGAATTCCCAGGTATTCTGGGGACAAGTTTAATGCTGGTCAACGCGGCTTTACGTACAAAACCCCCTGCATACTGCTCCCCAAGTACAAGAGCCTTATGAGTCCGCATACGCATGAGTTCCATCGGCCCGCGTCAAAATTGGGATTACCGAATTTGAACCACAGCGTCTCTTAACATAAGCGAAGAACTTCTTCGGATTTGCCGAAGCTCCATCAGCCAATTCCTTTTCGTACAACAGCCGAGCTTTCCTTAAGTGTTGTTTACACCTATTTCTACCATCGCGATATCCCTCATAGGTGATACTTAATGGAGCTGCATGGTAGGTCCTCCAGCAACTAGAACGCTTCTGGAGCAAGTACTTACCAGTGGTATCTATTCATGGCGGCCGGCTCGTGTCTCCTTTCTCCTCGCAAGCGGGATGTAGGGAGTTGACATTTTCGTGAGTTAAGACGTAAATTTATCCCAGGCCGTCTGAACCGTATCAACCACGGCGATTTCGCAACGCAACCCAGAAGAATTGATATGCATTGCCTGATAGTTAGCACGCCATATGTTTGGAAATGACTTAGCGGTGCTCTGGTGACGCCTGGTCAGAGTACAACTGAACGATAAACAAACATGGTCACTAACACCTAAGGGAGAGCGGTAGGTGATGTCACCTACGAAGGCTAGTGACTTGGCAAAAACTCGATCAAAAATAGACGGGAGTTGTGCATCCATGTACTTAGTGCGCGGGTACACGAACTGATGCAACGGAACTTGTAGCGTGAGCTCAAGAAGAGCGGCGTCGAAAGTACCATTCGCAGAGTTTCTAAAAAGCTCCGTTCAGCAAAATTCGGGTAGGCTGAAATCCCCCAATACCAAACACCTGTTTGCCGATTAGGAGCGATTAAAGTCACGCACGTCTTTCGACGCACTCCCAGGGATTCTATACACAAGTACAACTGTAAGTTGAGCTGAGGACGTGCTAATAACTACCCACAGATCTTCGACAGTTTTAGCTGCCGACTGAAACATGTAAATACGTAAACCGACAAGTACACAGCTAACGTAAAGCGCAACACCCCCGCCTTGTTGGCCAACGAAGCGATCACATCTGAATAGTGCGTAGTCAGACAGATGTACTTCACCGTCCGTGATGTCCCGAGAAGGCCAAGTTTCTGTGAATGTAAGTATATCGTGATGAAACTCATCTACAAGCAGACATATCTCGCACATCTTATTCTTTGGGCTGCGCACATTGTTTAGCACTAACTGAAGATACTCGTAATGTCCAGCCCTGGGTCATGCGCTACCAGTACTGGCACTGGTAGGGCGGAAACAGACCGCCGGTTGACCACCCGATTATCCACCATCCGGAGACCTTGTTCACCGGCCGCTCGCCTGGTTTTGAGGTCTTTAATGGCCTCTTTTAGCTTCAGCCTATGCACCAATGGGAGGTCTGGCTTAACGCTAACATTGGTACCCTTCAGTTTGAAGGCAAACCGCAACAGCGCGTTGCGTTCCTCCGGGGTGGATAGGACCACACTAAGTAAGCGCGGTCGAGGGTTTGGGTCGTTAACTGGGATGTTACCCAATCTAGACAGTTTCCTGACCCTTCCGCCGCAACAGCTGCATAACCTCCTCCACTTCCGTGACACAAGCGTTACGATGATGCCGCGCATGTCATCCAAATCGAGCTTTTTAAACGAATGTTACACGGAAGACGCACAAATGCACGCATCTTCTGCGTGCGCCGTAACGTCTTCATTAAGTCAAGCACCATGCTTTCCTGATCCACTGTTATCCCCCGATTATCGCCTTACAGCCAAGGCTCACCCACGTGAAAACTGTGCGAATGCCAAAGACAGGCGTTTCCAATCTCGTAACATTCCCCTTAAAATCCGCTGAGAACCGCGCAGGGCAATTGTAACACCGGTACATGTTAAAGATATTCATCAGGCGGATACGCAACACTTGCCGCTTTCCAGGAACATGTGAGCGCTTACTATGCATGCACACAAACTGTATATATAGGTACTGGCATCTTTCCGGTAGCACCTGTGCAGTCTCTCATTGGTAAGCTTTCGCAGTTTTAATGCTCCAATGAATGAACGATGTCGCCGTTTCCATCTGAAAAAATTTCTGTTCCTTATTAACTGATGAAATGTTCACATATGGACCCTTGAAGATACGTCGGAATGCACAAGATTTATCCAACGTCGCTGCTTTCGCTAGTAGCGGGAAAATGATTAACCACCGTAACTCATTTAAACCGTTCAGTTTATTAATTTCTAATCCTCTTCTTAGCATATTAACGATGAAGTTGACATAATAATAAACACATACATGCGTCGAAAGGCACAAAACTTTCATTCATCAACATACAACTTTGTGTACCATAATCACACTGCCAAAAGATCATTCGTCGCAATTGGCGGATCCGACGCTCCGCACTCTAATTGCGCTTATCTTCGGTAACTTTGTTGCGTTTATAGCATTTTAAGTAACTTACGGACATTTTTTCCTTATCGCGGATTCGTTGCTAACCAACTTACTTCACATGCTAATTTAGCGAAGAGCTATGCCACCGTATCTATGCATTATTGGATTTGTTTTATTTCCTCTTGTCGTTTCAAGTGATTGGCTGTTGCTTGATATCCCCGATGTGACTGCGCTTGATGTGCATGTTGACGAGGTGCCTACCTTTTATTATCCACTACCTCGTCCATACTGGCTCCAGGAGACAGTTTGTCGTTGCTGGGGTGGACGGGGTGCACGGTCCTTGTGTTCGTGCTAGGCTCGAAGAGTGGTTCCATGCACTCAGTGTGGAGGGGACTACAGTCCAGCCATCGCCTTGTGTGCGCTTGATTCCCAAATACAGCGTGCTTGTGTTTGCCTGTGAAGGAGTGTGGGCCGGCTCCGTTGATGAATCGTGGCTCCCATCCACATGCCTCCCGGTCTTATTCCTTCGGGTTTACACTGGATATGGGGTGTGTGGTTGGAGCAGTGGGTGGTGCATGGCAAGCCACCCATGGTCGGTCTGTAAGCGCAGGCATCTTGTGGCTGTCCACAGTGACAGGCAAATCCGAAACCGGATGCCGCGAACCATAACACTTGCCCAATAAGTGTGCCACAACACATAAGAATAACAACATAAGAATAACAATAAGGAGAGAGTGTCAGTGGAATGGAAGCAACGTTCCGTGTGTTATGTGGGTGTTGAGCTTCGCGGTTGCCCAGGCCTAGGAAGAGGGTTGACTTATGGCACCCCGAGCTTCTGGTCTAAAGACCTTACCCGCAAGGCAGCAGGGTGATTCACGAAGATCATTGACAGCCAAATGGCTCATTCGCCTTTGTGTTTAGAAGCAGTCCACAGAGAAGCCGGTGGCTAGCGACGTTGTTCATCTGTCCTCCGTTAGATACTCACCCACTTACAGACTTGAGTGGTCAGTGACCCTATAGCCGGTCACATTGGCTTTGACACAGCGTCGTACGAGCACTTGTAGTTTTTAATGGAGTACCTGGTGATCAGCCCAGAACTCCCCACGCTCTGAGATGCTGCCGCTGAATGTCCGCGACTGTTTATTCATTTCGCCTGCAAAGCAAAGGGGACTTATTCGCAGTTACCTCCACAAGGAAGGCATTCCCCCATCCGCAATCTGGGGACGCGCCCAAAAGCGTACAACTCCTTCACGAGTAATTCTTCTTCAACCCGTTAGTAAAAGTGATCACTGTATGGTGTCATTTCTCTGGACCCGACGCCTCATTCTTCACAACCAAGGTTCTCTCCGCCGACATTTCTGGCGTGATGATCCTCAGCGCATACAAACGGCCGAAAGTGCTGTGAACTAGAATATACCCGAGCACATTTACCTGGGCGATGAGTAGAAACTCTTGTACTCCAAAATGATTTCATTCGATGAGCAGGTCGTTCCTGGCTGCAAAAGATGACCCTCTTCCAGCAGTCCTCCAAAGATTGATCGAAAACTGAGGGGCCTAATGAACAAAAGATGGAAATTGTGGGACTGATTCAGGCTCACGCACTCCGCTTCTGACTGTTCGAACTACAAAGTAGCCAGGAGTATTTGCATCTTGCAAAAACGAAACGGTATAACTACGAAACCGGTTTTATAGTGTCTCACAGAGTTAAAACCGCGAATAGGACCTTAGCACGATTACTCACGGTCAGGTAACATTAGGTACAAATCGGCGAACCTGTCCTATGGCACGAACGAAGGAATCGAACGCTGATCATAAATAGTGATCCGACGACCGATGCGAAGCACACACACAACACTCGAAGGCGGCACAATGTCACCGAAAGCAGCAGACGAACGAACTTCGAAGATGCGAATATGTTGTTGTGAGTTAAAACAAATGTACAACAAATGACGGAAAATAGAATAGGAAGTTACAAACAAAAATGTGAAGAATTTATAAGCACTACAGGACACCCCTCCTAAAGCGTGAGTCGCGAGAACGAACGCTCGAAACTTGGGTGTTGTTGGTAGTCATTAGTTTGGAAGGCAAAACTACAGCGCGTCCCGAGCGTGTGTGCTTTGGTGTGTATGGTTCACTCGGTGGTTCATTGGAGGATGTGGAGGTTGGCACAGTGTTCACACATTCGCTGGGTAGGAGGGGTACTGGGGAACGTCTGTTCGGTAGCTTGTTGTGATGTTTTAGTTTCGACGTACGCTGGTTTTAAGCGATCAATGCTCAGAGAATCCTTCGAACCGTTTCTATCCAATACGAAGTATTTCTCTGCGAGTAAGAACTTTAAAGGGACCCACATACGGCGGTGTCAAGGCTTTACGCACTGCATCGACGCGCACAAAAACGAAAGGGCAGGTATGCAAATCAGAGTGGACTTGTTGATTTCGAGGGTTGAATCGGGGCGGTGTTGTCCGGACTGAAAAAAAATGTTGTCGCAATCGTACCACTTAGGAAATTGGGTCTAGTTCGCCAGTGATTCTGGAATCTAACACCATCTCAACGGGAAGCCTGAGAGTTGTGCCGAAAACCACTTCAGTGGGGCAACAACCTAGGTCTTTGACCGTGTTGCGAATGCCGAGAAGGATAACTGGTAGCTGTTCGGACCACTGCGTGCTCGATTGTGACGTGGTAATTGCGGCTTTCAGTTGACGGTGCAGACGCTCAACAAGATCATGGGCGGCTGGATGATAGGCGGTTGTTCGCAGATGACAACAACCGAGTAAATGATTGAGGTCTTGAAGTAGAACAGAATTGAACTGAGGACCTTTGTCTGTTGCTAGAAAAATCATGGATATGGGGAATTGGGTATCTCTCGGGAACAGTGACACTGTTGAGCGCACGGCAGTCGCCACATGGTCTCCAATCGCTGGTCTTCTTGGGCACTAAATGAAGCGGAGATGCCCAGCAGCTTTTGGAAGGGCGGTTGATCCCGAGGTTAAGCATGTGTTCGAACAGTCTCTTGGCCGCTTGTAGTTTATCTGGTGGAAGGGGTCTTGGCTTGGCAGACACAGGAGGACCGGTTGTGACGATATGGTGACAGAAATCGTGCTTGGGCTCCAGAGTGCCGTCATATGCTCTCACCAGGGAGGGACAATGTTGCAGTAATGACGAGTAGCGTGAATCTTTAGACATAAGTACTTTAAGCTTAGTGGAATTGACCGTAGCGAGCTGGCCGGAAACAGTTAACGACGTAGTACTATCTCGTAGCTTGCCACATCGCAAGTCTACGACCGGCCGAATTTGGTGAGAAATTCGATACCGATGATTGGCTTCTGTACATCGGCAATTAGGAAGATGAAGGTGAGATTACGTCGTAAACCAAGATTAAGTGTCAGCAGTCTCTGGCCATACGTCGCGATCTTGGTTTGGTTAGCTGTCTGTAAGGTAATTCCGGATGGTCGCAGAGCACGTTTATCCAAGGATCGAGGTATAACGCTTACCTCTGCGCCAGTATCAACCAAAAGATGAAGTTTGGTGGTGGAATCGAAGACGTACAAGAGGCGACTAATCGTTTGGCCAGCAGCAGCTGTCGCCCTCACTGGCTGGCGTTGTCGTTTCCCTGCCGAGAATCCAAAAACGTCTTCGGGTCTTTACAACCTGGACGACAATTGCGAACAGCATCGCCGAAACGGCAATGGAAATAGCAGTATGATCGCGATCGGCTGGTGCGGCATTGACAACGGCGCCTACTCCTTGACTTGAGTATACCGTTATCAGGTCGTTCACGACCGATGTGAGACACAGCGAGTTCTAACCGAGAGAGCCGTTCACTAATAGCGTCAAGTGCGGTACTTCCAGATGGACTCGTGGTGCTCAGTCCAGTCACATTATTCACAGCAGATTTAAAGAGCCGTTCATGAACTTTGTCGGCCGCTTCGGCTAGTTTGTCCAACGGAGTTCATCAGCGAGGACTGCTAAAATTGCCGTGGTGTTTGCTGGAAGGCACTTGGTCCAGATCTGTCAGAGTATGGAATCGTCCACGGTCTAGGAACCCACACGTGAGCGCATGTGCCGGAGGAGTTGAGACGGGCTGCGGTTTCCAAGCTTTTTGCCTGAAAGTAGCATATGTAACCGTGCTTCATCGGACGCCGTAGTGCGTTTTAGAGCGACTGATTTAAGTTTGTCATACGGCGATTCAGTCGGCATCGGATCAAGAATATCGATCACCTCCGAGGCTATCTGTGAAGGACGATGAGCGGTTTCGTATGAAAACGTCGATGGTTGCGAAGTGATCTTGCGAAATCGGAAGGTGGCCTCCACCTGAATAAGCCAAACACAAGTGTTTGAAACATCAAAGGTGGGTAACGAAAAATCAATGGAGTTTTCACACGGTTTACGTAGGGCAGCGTAGTCAGGCATAATGAAAGAAAAAGGGAGCGAAAAGTAATCAAACGAAGGATTAAATAGACGGGGTCACCAAATATAGTGTCTGACAGAGTTAACACCGCGCATAGGACCTTAGCTCGATTACTCACGGTTAGGTAACATTAGGTACCAATCGGCAGACCTGTCCTATGGCACGAACGGAGGAATCGAACGCTGATCGTAAATAGAGATCCGACGACCGATGCGAAGCACACACACAACACTCGAAGACGGCGCAATGTCACCGAAAGCAGCAGACGAACAAACTTCGAAGATGCGAATATGTTGTTGTGAGTTAAAACAAATGTACAACAAATGACGGAAAATAGAATAGGAAGTTACAAGGAAACTGTGAAGCATTTATGGACACTACAGTTTAGCTGTACAATCCAAAACGATACCTAAGATACTTCTCTCACCCGAAGAAAAGTACTAAAGGAGGCAGTGCTATTCCTGCCCTGTATTCCTTAACGCATGTCGGTTTACTTGTCGACGACGCTGCATAAGCCAGTCTCCTGGCCCTGCGATATTTATCTGTTTACTCAGTGGAGACGCCGTTACCAAGTGACGCGGCGCCAATCCACCCCCTCCCCCGTTGGAGCACGTGGAGATGAGC